TATTTTCTTTTAGAATTGGTATCTTTCTGAGATTTTTATTTATTCTTTCCTTTTATGTGACTTATAATTGATATTGCCTTCCTTAATTATGCTACTGGCCTGATTTCTGGGTTTTGATTTGTTCTGACCGACCTATAAATGGTCTCTGACTTATTTCTTAACTTATTAAACTTCAATCTTGCCTGTTAATTGATTCTCCCTAATCTAAGTGATATTTCCCGGATTCTGTCGTATTAATTGATTGGGTTTAGCCTTAATTAACTGGTTGAATGATTTGCATACCTTATTTGTGAACTCTTAATCTTCTTTGCCTTATTTGTTCTACTTTGCGGAATGCTATATAAACCTCCCCATTCTGATTTTGTAGAACACACGCACACATACGGAAAGATACAAAAATACCTACACAACTCTTACTTACTCACACACACAACCTAGTTTCTTTCTATTTGCTGCACTGTTTAGCCGGCTGAAAGCCAAGGCTAGACTCTTGGATTCTACTTGCCTTCACCTTCCTGTTTGCTATCTCCTTAACTGGTATGCCTCCATTTCTATTATCATACTATATTCTATGTAGTTAGACCTCGACATGATTCTGTTTGCCTTATGTTTTCCTGTTTTTATTGCTCCCTTAACTAGCATGCCTTAATTCCTGTCCTGTTTTATGTGCTACTATAGTTAGTTTACCTTAACATGTTTCTGTTTGATCCATGACACTTGTTTGCCTGTTTCTGAAACTAGCATGTTTAATTCCTACTACCCCACCCTATTCTGTATGGCTGTCTGATTAGTCATTTTAACTTCAGCATGTTTCTCTCTGCTTAATATATGTTTATATGGTTCCACCTAGTGATAGTTAAGTCAACTTCTGGCAATGTAAAACTTTGTTTGATCCAATTGTATGCTCTATGCAGAACCTGTTTAATCATGTCTGCAATTTAAGCGTTCCTGTTCTTGTTGTGATGGTTCAATTACTGGTGTCTATGTTTGAACCAATTTGCTAAAGTATGGTTTCTGTTCTATTTTGCTGTCTTGTAATTTGAACCTATCTGCTTCTGAAAAATCAAATTGCTTTCTTTCTGAAACTGTCCCCTACCCTTATACACTATTTTCAAACTTCTACTCTTAATTATCTAGGGTCCTACCACCCCCAGTGTGAGCACTGCTTAGGATCCATGAGACTCCGCCGAACTCTGACACACTGGGGCTGGCCTTCCAATATGTTACAAAACTGTTTTATTCGAAAGGTTCTGGTATGAGCATTGCCCGGGGTCCCTGACGCCCTTGGGAACTTTGACACACCAGAAGCCCATTTGTGTGTTATGAACTACCTGTGGACATCATATTTGCTTGAAGGCCTGGCTTCTAGGTTGACATTGGGCCTGCCAAGGCTCCCTATAGTGTTATAGATAGCTTTGTGTAATTCATTCTTATTGGTCTGTAATAATGTAATAATCTTTGTAAAAACAGATATGGGGCTATTAGTAAAAGCTAGGGAGAGATTTTTATATATATCTTTTATCAAATTCGGGTAGAAATCATGCCTATAGGTTGTTGTGACTCCTTATGTGCATACCATTAGAAATCATGCCTATAGGACCTATTTCATTATTTATAATCCNTGCCTATAGGACCTATTTTCATTATTTATAATCCTGAATTTTCATACTTTGCATCCTAGAAATCCTGCTTCTAGTTAGTCAATTCTGCATCAAGAACCATATTTTCAAATCTCCATATGTGCATTAGAGATCATGTCTATAGGATCTTCTTTATTGAACTTGCTTGGCAACTTGTTAACGCCTTTACCCACTTAGATATCATGCCTATAGGAAATACATATATAAAATCAGTTTTAGCACTTATCATGCCTATAGGAAATAAGTAAAAAATCAGTTTCTGCATTTAGATGTCATGTCTATAGGAAATAACACTTTTAACCAGTTTCAGCACTTAGAAGGCGTGCCTATAGGATCTAAAGGATAAGATATGCCTGTTAAAATCAGTAGTTGGTTTACCGCTTAGATACCATGTCTATAGGATTCTGCCCGATTATCACTTAGGCAAGCCTATTGGATAATTAAGAATTCTGAGTTTAAAACTGTGATTTCTTGCCGCTTGAAACGTGCCCATATTCAGAGTATCAACAAAATCAGTAGGCAAACTGATAGGTACTCGCTGCCTCGCTTTAATAAAATTGTTATATATTCTGTTCATGCTCATCTAGATATCCTGCCTATAGGGTCTTAATCATTTAAAATTGCTTGTTTGAATAGCGTGCATTTGTTTGTCTATTTGTGGAGGTTAACATGAGCCCAGTTAATTGCTCCTTATGTGACAGTCCTATTTGACTTTTGTTTGTCGCTTAGTTTTCTCCTTTTAAACAACATAGGTGAGTCTAGAACCGCCTTAAATAGAGGTCCTAAACACCTCTAGGGCCAGAGGTAAGGGACGGGTAGTGCACGCATAAGGTACGTACTGGATGTTATTAGAACGCTTAGGTAATAATTAAAAAGGGGAGGGTAATTGGGTAGTAAAGGAGATGATGACCTGTGCGCTAATGCTACGCGTAACACCTCAATTTGGGGAAGGTTACCGAGTATTGCATGGAAGTGATCCTATTGGCTAATAAACTTAGGACCCCTTTTAAAATAATCTCTATTTGTTTAAACTGCTTTATTTCCTTAAAGACTAATTCGCTTAAACTTAGTTTGGCTGGGACACACCGTTTTGGACCTCGAGGGGTGCCTAACACCTTCCCCTTAAGGGTAATTTCGAGCCCTTATCCAATCTCTGGTAATGTAAACTGGTTTCATGAGCACCTTAATCCGTTAGGTGGCAACTCTTTAAATCTCATACCCAATTCCAAAAAGGAAAGGAGTTGTCCCAAAATATCGAAACCCGGATTCCGCGAGGAAAAAGGGGGGCGCGATAGAAACCCACAAGCCGATTTGGGAGGATGAGGCAATCCCTCATTTCCATAAGAACTCCCATAGCACTAGTGCTTGTTAAGTGTTTGATATAATGCCTCAATGGCATTCCTTGTCCCCATTGGAGCCCGAGTCTCCGCCAGACTAGTCTTACAAAGGTACGAAGTAAGGCAAGACTCAACTACCTCCTAACCTACAACTCTAATACTCGACCTCCACATCTTCCTATCAAGTGCCATGTCCTCGGAAATCTGAAGCCTCGCCATGTCCTGCCTAATCACTTCTTCCCAATACTTCTTAGGCCTCCCTCTACCTCTTCTCGTGCCCTCCAGAGCCAGCCGCTCACGCCTCCTTATCGGAGCATCTAGGCTTCTTCTCTGTACATGCCTGAACTATCTGAATCTCGCTTCCCGCATCTTGTCATCAATGGGAGCCACGCGCACCTTCTCCCGAATATCCTCATTCCTAATCTTATCCATCCTAGTGTGCCCGCACATCCACCTCAACATCTTTATCTCTGCTACTTTCATCTTCTGAATATTTGAGTTCTTAACAGGCCAACACTCAGCCCCATACATCATGGCCGGTCTAACCACCGCTTTATAGAATTTGCCTTTGAGTATCGATGGCACTCTCTTGTCACAAAGGACTCCAGATGCTAACCTCCACTTCATCCATCCTACCCCAATACGGCGTGTGACGTCCTCGCCGATCTCCACTCCCCCCGGATAACCGACCCAAGGTACTTGAAACTGCTTCTACTAGGGACGACCTGTGATTCAAGCCTCACATCCACGCCCACTTACCCCGGCTCAACGCGGAACTTACACTCCAGGTATTCCGTCTTCGTCCTGCTCAGCTTAAAACCCTTAGACTCAAGAGAAATAAATAAATGTACATAACGTAATAACTTAAGTTTTGAGCATTGACAGTGTCAAAAATATTAACTCATTCTGATCAATTTAAACGATAATTATAGTTCATTCAATTAATTAGTAGCACTTATTGGTGAATATCTAAAATTAATTGTAAATAATCTAATATAATATGTTGAATTGCACTAAAAGAAAACCGGTGCATGAATGCTTTTGTGTCATGCAGTTTCAAAGAAGATTGTAACAAAAATTCATTATGTTGTCGATATATATCTTAATTCCTATATCAAAAGGATAAAATTAAAATTGAAAAGTGAAGCAAATATACTAATTAATAAGTGAAATATTATCATAATTTATGAACTTATTGGTATTAAATAACTTCAATCAAAAAAGATATACTACAACACTTTTCTTTATAATAATTATTTATATAAATTCTATAGTATATAGGAATCATAATAATAAGGGAATAAGTAAATTTGAGGCCTTCAAATGTTGGGGGCCCAAGGCAATGACCTCACTTGCCAAGCCTTTATAGCCGCCCTTAAACCAATCGCGATGACCAATTGTGCGAATGTTATTGTCCGGCGCAAAGATATTAAACTTAAGCGTGCGTGAGTATCCCTTGATATAAGAAAATAATATAAATTATAACTAATTTACTATCACATTTTAAATTATATTGATAACGTAAAAATTCTTTACTCTATCGATACATATAACTTTATAGGTTATCTACAACTTCTTTAAAGTTATAAAATTAAGACTATACGCATTTACCCTATTATTAATTAGGGTAAAACGCGTAGCTCAATTTGATAGTGTAAAAATTTAGTACAGTATTGTACTATTCTTGTTAATGATGGACTTCTTGTTTTTTTTATTTCTAATGCACAATTTAATGATGGACTTCTTGTTTTTTTATTTCTAATTTTTTCTTTTTGGAATTACTTGTATATTGTACTATTCTTCAGACAAATGAAGCCACTTATACAACGAAAACTGAAAGAAAACATGCATGAAAAAATTTAAACTTATTATGTGTAAAGCAGAATGGTTTGGCTAGCCATGCAAAGTGCAAAATGGCACAAAACTTTGTTTTACATATTTTTTGCAATGTGTCAATCTTTAAAACTAATCCTCTCTAGTATAAATAACCTTCATTTCCTACTTGATCTTCACTTCCCATCAGCACAATAATACTTTTTTCTTCTTCTTATTTTTCTGTTAACAGTTATAATCATGGCCACTACATGGTTTTCTTTTTTCTTGAGTTTCCTTTTGCTTTTGCATGGTAATTTTGCTCAGCAAAGGTATTGTTCAGTAATACCTGTTCTTTTTATTTGTCAAAATAGTTCCTATTTTTAACAGTTCGTTGGTCAAAATTATGAGGATGTTATTTACATTTGGTGGCCACTTTTTTATAGACTTTTATTTGAAACTTGCCATACTTCTAAAATTAGACAAGTTATATGAATATTAGTTTAGAATTTTAAACTTCAAATCAGGTTGCAACTTCCAAACTTCCTACAACTGGTCTAATTTTGTAAAAATTGTCGACTTCTAGGTACAAGGACATAAAAGTGGCTATTTTTGCAAATCTGCAGAATTCCTGCTCAAACTGTGATTTGAATGTTAGTTTTCAATTTTAAACTTCAGACCAAGTGGCCACTTTCCAACTTCAAGCCATTGATCTGATTTTGAAAAAGTTGCTAACTGGTCATAAAGTGACTATTTTTGCAAATCAGCAGAGTACATGCTCAAGTAGTGCTAGTAGTTGAGGAGTTTTTCTGAATTTTATGATAAAATCAAGCCAGTTTTCAGCTATTTCTCTACTGATCTCTTAGCCTTTATCTCTATTGTGTTCACAGAGGCGGAGCTAGCATGTGATATACGGGTTTACATAAATTTAGTAGTTTTTATTCAGACGCGGTGTATATTTTAAAAAATTTACTAAATATCTATAAATGTTTGACATGAAAAGGAGCTTTGGAGCAACGTACAGGTCACGGGTTCGAGGCGTGGAAGTAGCTACTAATGCTTGCATTAGGGTAGACTGTCTACATCACACCCCTTAGGGTGCGGCCCTTCCCCGGACCTAGCGTGAACGCATGATGCCTTGCGCACCAGGCGGCCGTGAGCTATAAATATTTGAAAGTGGCCTCAATTATTATTGTATATTAAATTGAGATTGCCATAAAAACCGATAAACTTTAAATCCTGGACACATCTCTAATTGTTCATATTTTATTTAAATTTCCAACAGGTACCAACAGCAACAAGGTCAGTGTCAAATTAACAGACTCAATCCACAAGAGCCTTCCTTTAGAATGCAAGCAGAAGCTGGAGTTACTGAGTTTTTTGACACAAATAATCAGCAATTTCAATGTGCTGGAGTTTCACTATTTCGTCATGTTATTCAGTCCAGAGGCCTTTTCTTGCCTTCTTATACTAATTCTCCACTGCTTGCCTATGTTGTTCAAGGTGCTAATTAATTAAAACTTCAATTAATTTTGAAATATTTTGTAATTATGTCAATAGCAAATAGGTCTATATCTCCTATTGTGTCACGTGCTATGTTGTTCAGACTCTTTAAAAACGAAAAAGTAACATTCTTTTGGTGAGTGATGATCTTATTGTATGTAAACAGGTAGAGGATTTTATGGGATAATGAACTCGGGTTGCCCCGAGACATTCCAATCATCTCAACAAACTCAACAGAGAATTAGAGGCAGAAGATTTCAAGATCGTCATCAAAAGATTGAACAATTTAGGCAGGGTGATATTATGGCATTTCCTGCAGGTGCTGCACATTGGCTATATAATGAAGGAAATGAAGAAGTTGTTCTTGTTGTTCTTGAAGATGCCTCTAACAATGCCAATCAATTGGATCAAACCTCTCGGGTACGTTAAGAGTATTATTGCACGATCAATTTATCACTCAATCACAGACCGCTCTCAGTCATTGACTCGTTGTTATTGTCTGAATTTATCACCCTTGGAATAACGATAAAGTTGTCTCCATGTGACCTATAGGTCACAGGTTCGAGCCGTGGAAACAGCCACTGATGCTTGCATTAGGGTAGGCTGTCTACATCACACCCCTGGCTGAATGCCTTGTGCACCGGGCTGCCCTTATTTATCGCATCGTTACCCAATATACATTCAAGATTGAAGTGCTCGATTACTTCTTGAAATTGTCTTTACATAATATATTTGAATGTTCACTATATGCAGAGGTTCTTTATTGCTGGAAACCCGCAACAAGGACAACAACAACAACAACAACAAGGGAGACAGTACGGGGGCAGCACTATGCGAAGGGAGCAATTTCGATCAGGCAATGTTTTCAATGGCTTTGACATAGAAGTTCTATCAGAAGCATTTGGCGTTGACAGGTCAGTGCTAAGAACCTTAAAAGTTAAATTCATCGATCATGTTTAAATTTTGAATCCGCATCTGTTATTACAGGGAAACGGCGAGGAGGCTACAAGGACAAGATGACATGAGAGGTCATATTGTTAGTGTTCAAGAAGGGCTTAGAGTAATTAGACCACCTTTTTCACAAGAACAAGAAGAACAACAAGAACAAGGACAATATGGTCGTGGTCCTATGATTAATGGAATTGAAGAGACAATTTGTACTGCTAAGGTTAGAGAAAACATTGACAATCCTGCTCGTGCTGATATATACAACCCGCGTGCAGGACGTTTAAGCACTGTCAATCGTTTCACTCTGCCCATTCTTAGCTTCCTCCGACTCAGTGCTGCTCGGGGAGTTCTCTACAGAGTAAGTCACTTCCGCTTAAGTTCTATGTAATGACGTTTTTTAAATATTTGCACAATCACATCACTAGTAAGGTAATTATAGGTAAATTCTACGATAAGCATTGATTAGTGACATGTTAATATATATGGTAACTACTGCATGTTAAACTGCACTGATAGTGTAAAAAATCCTTTCTTCGTGTATACAACTTAAATCCATTAAAAGTGAACTACTACTAGTAGTACAACTAGTAAAGGTGTTGGATTCTGAACTTTGTATACAAGTGCAAAATGAGACGTGTTTAAGTTAGTGTATGGTAACTACTGCATGTTAAACTGCACTGATAGTGTAAAAAATCTTTTCTTCGTGTATACAACTTAAATCCATTAAAAATGAACTACTAGTAGTAGTAAAACTAGAAAAAGTGTTGGTTTCTGAACTTTGTATACAAGTGCAAGGTGTCTTTTGAAATATTCATTCAAAAGCATCAGTACGTAGAACTTAAACTCTTTCAGAAACGTGTCATTGTACACCTCACGCTTTCGTTGTTCTTCTATAATCTCAATTATGTTCTGTAAAGTGACTTATTTTCGGATAAAAAATGTGCAGAATTCGATGATGGCACCACATTGGTACAAGAATGCACACAGCATAATCTACATAACGAGAGGCGAATCAAGAATTCAGATAGTAGATCACAGAGGACAAGCAGTGCTAGATGATCAAGTTCGCGAAGGACAATGTTTAGTAGTGCCACAGAACTATGCAATTGTAAAACAAGCAGGAAATGAAGGATGTGAATGGATAGCATTCAATACTAATGACAATGCCATGATCAACACCTTGAGTGGCCGTACCTCGGCCATTCGCGGGCTGCCCCTGGATGTCATTGCCAATGCTTATCAGATATCGAGGGATGAAGCGCGAAGGCTTAAGTTTAACAGGGATGAAACGCTCATTTTCCGTTCTACTAGAAGATCGCCGCGTTCCTATGGAAGAGTAATTGGTCTGGTTGATGAGGCTAATAGTACTAGTATTGCTTGATAATTAGAGGAGGACTTGAGGTATTATGTTCTCATATGTAATATTATGTAAGTGCGGCATGTTTCTGCAATTGAGAAAGAGGGCAAATGAAGAATAAATTTCTAAATAAAAAGAATCTTGTTCAAGTACGTTGAAATCTTGATTGTGCATCTTTCTTAGTTTTCTTCTTTTTTGGTTTTTCACCCGGTGTCCGGTTCCTCATTGGGATCAGACTAATCCGAATTCGCGCCGGAAATTGCCACATTGGGGGATAAAGCACTCCGTAACAAAAACTCCGTAGGTTTTACTTTTCTTTAAGATTCAAGAATTATAAATAAACCATAGTTAGTTTGAAGGTCTTCATTTTTCTCCTGTAGTTTCTTGGATGATACAGGAGCCTTGGAGCTACGGTAAAGAGTTCGAACCGTGGAAGTAGCCACGAATGCTTGCGTTAGGGTAGGCTGTCTATAATACACGCCTTGGAGTGTGGCCCTTCTCTGAAGGCTGCGTGAACGCGGGATGCTTTGTGTATCGGGCTGCCCTTAGTCTAAAAATCAACTTTGCTTTTTCATTTTGCTTTTCAAATGCATAAACTGATATAAATTTCCATGGAGATAAACACTAACCATAAAAGCTTTTTTAATTTCTGAGTCCATATATATGATATTGAGTTACATTATACAAAGTAAAAGGGAAACTAAACCACTTCTACACAACAGGAACTATCCTGTTATTATATTGAGTTGCCTCATTTTCATTCTTCATTTTCTCTTGACATCTCTTCCAGAGACTTTCCTTTTGATTCCGGAACCAAGAAAGTGAATAACGTGCCGAGAAGATTGATTACACCTAGCACAATGAGGGAATTTCTAACTCCAATTCCAGCAGGATACCCTTCATCAGCCTTGGCCTTATCTTGTAGCTGAGCCAAATACTAGAATCCGAAAGCGCCCACCATCGCCCCTAATTTCCCGGATGCATCTGATATTCCGTGGCAAGTTGAGCGCAATCTTGCAGGGAAAATCTCAGCTGGTACGACGAATGTGGTGGCGTTAGGTCCAAAGTTGGCAGAAAAGAATGTGAGCGAGTATAGTACCACGAAGCCAATATGGTTGCTCGGGTGTGTCCAATGGCTATAAGGAATAACTAGAGCAAACATGAATGCTGTCATCATTGCAGAACCGAGCAATTGAATTTTAAACTTGCCTATTCGGTCAGTGAGTAAAACAATGAACCAATAACCTGGTACTGTACTACATAGAGCAATAAGCGTTTGCGACTGCATTCATTGTCTTTGCAGCAAGAATCCATCCAATAGCACTAAAAATATCCTTTTGGTACAAATTTTAGCTGTAGTAAGCAATGGCAAGTAGAAACTAAGTGAATGTTGTGCCTAGAAAGTATGAATTGACTTAGTACTTGGACTGCAACGCATAAGTCAAGTCTTGTAATTGTTAAGTACAATAGCTTACTAATTAATTTCTGATAGCTACTAGCATCTTGCAGTTGTGCATCTTCAGTATTCCCAACATGTCTGTAATAGGCCACTATAGTAAGTTTGTGATTTTGTTCTATTGGTGTTGGCATGCACTTTGGCTAATCTCTGAAATCAACTCTAATGCATATTTTCTTTGGTTGAGTAGAATACCTTTATTGGATCTCATCACTTCAATCCCTAGAAAAATCTAAGTTTTCCTAAATCCTTCATTTTAAAATTTCTGTGCAGTGTGTCTTTTGCTTCTTCTATCAGTTTGCTATTACTTCATGATATTAGAAGGTCATCCACATACACTAAAATTATTACAACGGCTACATTCTTTCTTGGTGAATAAAGAATCTCTGAACAAAGCCAGCTTAAAACAATGCACATGTCAGCTTGATGTTCCACTTTTTTGAAGCCTGCTTCAAGCTATAGAGGGATTTCAACAATCTGCATACTGTGGACTCTCCCTCACTGTGAATCCTTGTGGAACTTGCATGCACACTTCTTTAAATAAGTCACCCTGCAAAAAGGCATTATTCACATGTGACGGTCACTGCATTTTCGCAATAGGAGAGAATAAAGGGCAGCCTGGTGCACTTGCACGGGGCCCGGTGCACAGGAGAGAATGTATCATGGCAATCCAAACCCTCTTGTTGAGTGTATCCTTTTGCTACTAACCTAGCCTTGAATCATTATACTTCACCATTGGCCTTATATTTGATCCTATAAACCCATGTTGATCCAATAGCCTGCTTATTTGAAGGTAGATCCACTACTTCCCAGGTATTGTTGTCTTCAAGAACTTTGATTTCTTGGTCCATTACCTGTTTGTAGGTATGACTTATATAGGTTGGAGACAGGTGGTCATAATGTTTGATCAAAAAGTGTTAAGCTTTTTGTTAAACTAATTAATAAGGAAATAAAGGGTGAATCCTAGTTAGATATAATAAGATCTAGAAAAAAAAAAACTTAGACAGATCCGTGGAATGAGATCGTGTTTAAGAGTAATAAAGATCAGTCACATGTTCAATGATTATCAATGAATGTTATAATAAAAACATGCAATAAATGTAGATAATGGCAATAAATGTAGTAAAGAGAAATTTATCACCCAAATGTTAGATGGTTTGGGTGATTCTTCTTCCTGACAGCAACGTGGGACAATGATAAATGAAGATGGATAAGGAATCTTTGGATCTTGTAAACAAAAAGTGAACGACGTGTGTAGAGCTATAGAATCAGTGAACAAGACAAGCCTTTTTGTATATTCTCTGTAGTCAACCCTTTACAAGTGCTCTTATTAAAAGGTGAAGATCCCTTTTTTGTTCTTTATCTTTTCCTATTTATAAGGGTTATCCCCAAGAAACCCTAAAAGGGTACAACATAGAGAATATCCAATGGAATATTCCTTATATCTATTGCTAAACTATACTACCGTTGCTTTCTTCCCCCTTTTCTTGACCTCGGCAATAATCCTTCTTAAGACGACTCCTCGCCGTGGTGCCGTAGTCGGCATGGCGGATCCAGGATTTTAGGTTCGTGGGTGCTTAACTTTTTTTGACGTAAAGTTACTATCAATCCCATTATATAAGTATGCAATTATTTAAATACAATGAAAAAAAATTTAATTAGAAAACCATGATATTAATGTTATAGACGCCGTGAAACTGTGATGAATAACACAATTAGCAAGAAAAAAATAAGTAGATTTTGCAGTTCTGGAAGGATTCTTTGTTTTTCTAAAGAAAATTTTCTTTTTCTTTCTTTGCTATAAATAAGTAGATAAAGTAAGAAAAGAAAAGCAAAAAAAAAAAAAAAAAGATAAAACAAAGTCAGAAGCAAAAGAATAAAAGTAGTATTGGCTCAAAAAAGTCGGTAGCGAAAACTGAAAAGAACAAAAAGAGGACCTTATAATTGGGGCAAAAGAAAATGCTTTGCAAGAGTGAGATTCAATCCCTTACCCTTTGGCTTTTATAGCGCTCCATCACCCATCATAAACCAAAGCACCCACTTGGCTCTTTGTTATTTGGGTGCTTTCTGTTTTATTATATCCTTTTTCTAACTTCTCTATATAACTATACACATTCCGAGTCGAGATTAATGGGTGCTCGAGCACCCAATTTTTGTACGTAAATCCGCCCTTGATGGTCGGCTCTGTCCTTGACCATGTTTATTTGCAGTTATCAAGCCGCCCAAATTTAAACCAATACACAAATAGGTGGTTTAGCCAACAGTTTTGACCTTCACAATCAATCACCCACATTGGATGACAAAAGTTGACTCTTTTACCTTGGATGATGTGAACCCCAACAGCTATGCATGCTCTCTCTTCTGACTAATTACTTACACCTAACTACTACAATTACAAAGCTACTCCACACCGCTTTCCAAATTGTCGCAAGCAGCGGCGGATTTAGGGGCGGAACCGAACCCTTTTCGTTGAAAACTTACATGGTATATACAAGACAAAATATATTTTTTAACTCTATATATTATGTTTTGAAACCCCTCGAGATAACCCGTAAGCATAACTTAATGGTGAAGGAGGTTCAAAGCTTATTTTTTAACTTGTTTTTTTGAACCCCCTTAATGGAGATTCTGGCTCCGCCACTAACCGCAAGCCTTCCCTTATTTCCGTGTTTGCTCTTGTCTTAGTTGGAGACTCAAGAGTCTAAGTAAGTCACATTTAGAGAATGCAATTTATAAGTTGGAGACGAGAAATGCGATTTACAAGTCGAATGAAATGCGATTTATAAGTCACATAACCATTTACAAGTCGCATTTGAATGAAAGATTTATAATTCGAATTTAGGGCTGCGATTTATAAGTCGCATATAAGAAACGCCATTTACAAGTCGCATTTGAATGAAAGATTTATAATTCGAATTTAGGGATGCGATTTATAATTCGAATTTAGTTTAGCAAATACGATTTATAAGTCGGAAGCCACATTATTATTCATGCTTTCTTATTTAAGTCTATACCAATTATAAGGGTGATTTTTAAAAATAGCCAGATTTACAACTGGTCGTTCAAAAATAGTCCAATTTCAAAAGTAATTGAAATTTAGTCACTTTTTACGTAAAGATAAATCTGAGCGAAAACACTGTTCAAAACCCGAAAAATACTCCAGTATATTATGCTGGAGTTCCAGCATAAGTATACTTGAACTCCAGCATATTATACTGGAGTTCCAGGATAGTATGCTGGAACTCCAACATAATATGATGGAGTTCCAGCATAAATACACTAGAACTCCAGCATAATATACTGGAGTTCCAGCAAGTATAATGGTCCAGTATAATATACTGGAGTTTGGAGCACCAGTGCTCCAGTCTCCAATATATTATACTGGAGCCAGCAAAGTATACCGGTCCAGCATAATATGCTGGAGTTCATACACAAGTGCACCGAACTCCAGTATATTATACTAGACCGAACTCCAACATAATATGATGGAGTTCCAGCATAAATACACTAGAACTCCAGCATAATATACTGGAGTTCCAGCAAGTATAATGGTCCAGTATAATATACTGGAGTTTGGAGCACCAGTGCTCCAGTCTCCAATATATTATACTGGAGCCAGCAAAGTATACCGGTCCAGCATAATATGCTGGAGTTCATACACAAGTGCACCGAACTCCAGTATATTAT